CTGCTCCCGTCATCGGTCGAAAAAGTGCGCGTATTTTTCGTGATGCGCACGAGCGCGCGCATGCCCCTTAGAATAACGCACAAGTTCGAACAGTCGATAACCTTTCGGTATGAAATGCCTTATGCTTTTTTTTTATTTTATTTTATTTTTTTTTTAACCTACCCGCAAGATTTAACCTTGGGGGATGATGTCCAATTTTTTATTCTCTCTTTCTCTCTTTTTCTGCATTTGTTTCGTAAAATTTGCCAGCTAAATAAATGTAATCTATTTATTTATATATTTATGAACGTACACGGCTATCTTATTTTTCAACAAATTATTCAATTTCATCGATAAGTAAATTATTAGATAATACTGACACCACATATTGGTCAATTTAATATTTGTTCTCAAAATTTCTTTCCCTTTTTTGTTGTTAGTCCATTTCGCATTTACAATATTTGTTATTTTCCATTATTGTATTGAATAATTAACAATATCAAAATAAGAATGATTGATCAGAATTGTATCGTAGTATATTTTTCGATCAAAAAATTCACGTAAAATGACATGTGTATATAAAATTGAATGAGAAAAAAATCTGCAAGAAAAAAATGTGTGATCGATCATTGATAATATCAAATGATATTTAAACTCGTTAAAACATAATAAAGAATACGGAACAGGAAGTTCGAAGATTCATTGGTGAGTTCGCCGAAAACGCGGTCGCAGTAAAACGACGACGATGGAGAAACGAAAGACAGAAAGAGTAAGAGAAAGAGTAAGAGAAAGAGTAAGAGAAAGACATTGGAAACGGTCATCGACTTCTTCGTTGGCTCCGTTCTCTCGATCGTTTGCGAGCATGCGCGTCACAAAATTTGTTCTTTGCCAAACGAAAGGAAAATCGGAAATGAGATCGCGCGCATCGCGTTTCTTCAATATATATATATACACACACACATACACACACATTTGTATAAATATATATACACATATCACACATACATATACACATGCACGTGCGCATAGATATATTTATATATACATGTATATATATTTATATATGTAAGAGATAGATTTAGAGAAAGAGAGAGAGAGAGAGGTTTATAGGTGTATTCTCTTTGTCCGTGTGTGTTAGTAGTACCAAAGCGTGTAGTGCGCAAATTCTGGCCGCTATTCGCGACGTCATCTTCGACGTGAGTCATTCCCTATGAATAGATCCCCACCTTTTACCTCGGCCGTTGCGCGCGTATACATCGCGTCGTCGCGATGACTTTAAGCACCTCTTCACCTTTTTTTTTTTTTTTATTCCTTCTTCCTTTCTCTCTCTCTCTTTCTCTCTCATCTATCTTCCTTTTCTGTTTCTTTCTATCACGTTTTTTTTTTTTTTAATTCTTCCAGGTACGTATTTGCTAAAAGATTCTTTTATGCACACGAAAGGTAATCACAACTTGTGATAAGGAATTTTTGATTAAACAATTGGGCCAAGTTTATGGAGAAATTTACCAAACCTTGATAATGTGTAATTCTTTTTATCTTTGTTTTTTTTTTTTCTTTTACTCTTCCTCTCTTCCTCTCTCTCTCTTTTGTTTTATTTTTTTGAGAATCGTATATGTGCATAAAGATATTTTTATGTACATTAAAGAGGTAATCATATGATAAGAATTTTTGATTAAACAATTGGACCACAAGTTTATGCAAATGCTATATCAATCCTTATTAATTTGAAATTGTTTTAATTTGGTTTGTGAAGATTTTTATTTAATGTTTATTTCTTGAGATATTGTTTTATCATGTTTTTTTTCGATAGATTATTTTTAATAACGTGTAATTACAATTAATATTATATTCTATTTTCTTATGTGATTATCAGTTTAAAATAGAATTATTTTTTAATAGAGTTTGAAATATTTGTAAAATGTAAGAGTGGTTTTATAAATTAGTAATTATTTTGCAATATAAAGATCATAGAATTATAAGATTTGTACTATGTTTAGAATAATTATTCGTCATTTTAAAGGGATGGTAGTATTTTGCATAACTTTGCTCAATATTCGAAGCTCTGGTTATTGTTTACCATTTGAAAATAAATCGAGACGTTATAAACGAGATAATTAAATGATTCTACAGAGAGTTTGTTCAATGATTCACAGTATTGTCTACGAAATAAATGATTCAATGATTTCCAGTATATTTTGATTCTAATAAGACATATATCAGTGTGTGTGACTCACTATAAAGAGATTTTTTAATGAATCAAAATGAAAACATTGATTAATTATATTTTAATGTAAACGTAAATCAATTATTCCATAGACATTCTTTAAAACATCGAGAATCATTTCGGTCGCAGATTATTTTGCGAAAAAATAATATAAACCGATGTTATTTACACGTATAGATTAGCTTTGATAAAATGAGTAAGTAAACAAATAAGTAAGTGAGTAAGTAAATAATACGAACTTATAATTTTCCTTGACGATACGAACGAAACGTTCAGTAAAACGGCGTCAGCGATAAGAGCGTTGGCATTCTAATGTTTTTTTTTTCCCCCCATCAACGTATATATATATATCTATGTAATAATTCCCTATTTATCTTTATACTACATTATATTTTTCCTAATATCAAGAGTCGCGTGTTTTCACGAGTCACACATCTCTTTCTATCATTAATTTTTTCTTTTTTTATCGTAGAAGTATCAACAAATGTCAGTAATATTTAAATACCTTGCACTGAAATATCCCTTGATCGTTAAATGTTATAAAAATCATTCCATCTTTTTTTTTTTAATAATGTAATAACCGGAAATGCATCCATATTGAGATAATACGAAATACGAATCAATACAAAGACTAGAAAAAAAAAATGTTAACGTGAAAAGCAACTAATGTATTTAATTTTACAGAAAATAATGACACATATTTACATCTTTCCATGCCAAGTAGTTGAATATCTTCTAAGCCATTATTATCTCACACTTGTTTTACATCGTATGAAAATATCGTTTCTAGTAAATATCATGAAACACACTTGTGAAATCGAAATTATAACATAAATACATTTCATTCCTCTTACTTTTATTAGTTTTTAAGTTTCGTTTAATACGATTTTGGTACGGATACCAAATGAATTAATTGCATTGTAAAAGTTACGAATGTAATATATTTGTATGTAAATATATTTTCTTGAAATTTTCGTTTCTTTATAGCACCAAGAGGATGATACCATTTAGTCAGAAGCTATTTAATTAGAGCGCGACGGAACAAGGGGTTGCTCGTCAGGCGGTAAATTTATCAACGACCGGTTCCTTCCCATTATCGACCTTGTACTCTTTATCAAGAATTTTTATCCGCTAATTATAATGTTTTATTCCATGTCGAGGTAAAAAAAAAAAAAGAAAAGAAAAATAATAACAAAATTCGCGGAAAAATATAACTCAACGTTATATCCGTTGCTTTTTTTCATTCGAATATTTTCGACAATGATTTATTGTTTCTAAAAAAAAATGTATCTAACATATTTTTTATTTTTTTTTTTTATTAAATATTATTCTATAATCTTTTAATTATAGAATACACGTAGATAGAAAAAGAATATAAAACGAATTTAGTTGTCAGTATAATAACTACGCTCAGAATTATAGTATTGTGTGCATGTGTGTGTTTTATTGTTAGTTGACTACCGGTTGTTGAGAGGATTATGACCTAGTGGTGATACGCGGCTCGTAGGTGACTATCGCACGTTCTATTCACCCCTCGCCCCGTCTCCCCCTTCACACCCTCTTCCTCCAGCTCTTCTTCCTCCTCCCACGTTTCCTTCAACATTTTCCATTCAACTCCAGGCTGACGTTTGCGCAATATCGACCGAGTTGAATTTCATTTAGAAGTCCACGCACCGGAATCACCAACTAGAATAGTCTATTTTTTTCTATTTTTTTTCCTCGTGCAACGATAAAAACATTTAATATGATTGTTATTCTTCTAGTATCACATCTAAACAGAAATATTTCATTTTTCTTTATCTTTTTTTTTTATGAATATATAAGCAAATGGGATCTCGAAAGGTTTCGAATCCAATATAGAAACAATTTTTTGTTCGATCAAAACATTTCCGACCCCTTTCCTACTCTTTATGTTGTATAAAATATATATATAATTTAATATGAAGTAATTAAAAATATATAATATATATTCTCTTTAAATTTATTTATTAAATTATAAATATTTGAAAAAAAAAGAAAGAAAAAGGAAATATAAAATAAAAATCAAATGATAAATTATATAAATTGTTTTAGATGAAAATGTAATTAAAATGAATATTGAAATAGTTGGAGCGTGCGCTGCTACGACGAAATTGTCTCAAGACAAAAGTTCTCATCTTGGCAACGTTCGTACGAAACGAAAATGGTGCGCGTAAAGGAGGATGAAAAAATAACGTGGGAAAATTTACACGCGTTAGAAGATACGGAGGCGGTTGCGGGCAAGAATATCATCCTAATAACATCATCGTTATTTCGGAAAGTTCGAAAACGGAGCGTAGAACTTGTCATGCAAACTTTGATAAATTTCGTTAAACTTCGAGAAAGACAAGACAATTATTGTTTGTATTTAGTTTTCTCTCATTTTTATCTGTTATTTCTCGAAGGATGATATTTCAATTAAAATTATCTGTTGACAATGTATATATGCTACACATGTATCTACGTTCTTATAAAATCGAGATAAAAGCCAAGGTCGATACGAATACGAGCCAGCTTTATAATCACAGTACGTTTCTCTCTATAAGAATCTATTATCTCTCCACGATTTACGAAAGTCATCGTTCTTAAGTATTCTCCACCTACACGACAATTGAAAATTACAAATTCCATAGGATTCATCGTTGTCCGATAATCTTCGCGAGAAACGTTGGAAATATTTGAAGGTTTTTCAAAAGCCTTATTACGTAACGATAATAACGAGAAAATAATTCGATCCGATCTAGTCTGACCAGATAAGAAAAATAATTGGATTACTTACCGATAAGTAAAGCGGGTTCTCGATTGTCCTCTACGAGAGCAGCCAGTACCAGAAACAAGGGATGTTGAATAGGAAGGTACTCCAGTTCGGCGGTGCAGTCGTCGTAAACGACAACTTCTCTATATTGTTTCCTTCGTAGAATTTCTTTGCCTTCTCTGGCAGTAGCAAGATCGGCCAATGTTGCTTTTCCCAGTTGCAAGCGTCGTCTATTGAATCGATCGGAACAGTTTACGTTGATGGCACCACGAATATGATTGACGTTGTAGAGAATAAATGGCCGACAATCTAAGAGCACAGGACTGCTCGTAGGATGTTCAATAATTCGTTGAGCCAACTCATTGGGTGTTATGGTACGGGTTCTTTGGAGAACTAATTGTTTTTGAAGACTGTTGCTCTCGGAGCAAGGACTCGCGGGAAGGCTAACCGTCTCCAGCTTGCAACGTTTCGATGCTGAGAGAGGATGAAGTTGGTGTTGATGGTAATGATGATGATGAAGATGATGATGATGATAATGATGATGATGATAATGACGATGTACGTCGGTGTTAATAGGTTCGTTATCGATGATGATGGTACCGGGGCCACTGGTAGTGCTGCTACCACTGCTAATGCTATTGCAGTTGATACCACTGCTGCTGGTGCTGCTGATGCTGCTGGCAATGTCGGTTATTCCGCTAACGTCGGTGATGCAACTGTCGACGCTGCTGGTAGTCGAGGGAGTTGGCGATACGGGCGACGTCGGCGACGAGAGGAAGCACGAGGACGTCGCCGGTGGACCTGGTTCGCTCAAACTGCGGTTCAGAACGAGTTTGAGGTTGTCTCGCGGCCGTCCGGCCGAGACCGGCTCACAGCACACTAAAGTCGACATCGAGGTTGCTCCTTTTCTTCCCTCTTTACCTTTTTCTTCTTCTTCTCCTTCTTCTTCTTCTTCTTCAACTCCTCCTATTCCTCGTTTATACTGCTGTTCTCGTTGTTGTTGATACCGACGATCTAGAGGAAGTTCCAATTGTTTCTGACGTTGACGATAACCCTGTCTATCAGCGATTTCTGGTACAATTACATCGAGACTCCTTCCCGAAGACAGCACTAAAAATCCGAAAAAAAGTTATCGTTAGAGATTACGAATTATAATATATTATTATTAATTCTATTTATGTCGAGACAAGAACGCCTGTTGCCATTCTCGTTCGAGGTTTTTCCTACTAATCTTCATCGCTTATTTGAGGTAACAGGTGTAAGTTTGTATCTTTTGAAAACATAAGTTGACGGGAGGTTAAGCGTGGGTGTACTTTAACGATGTGCGATGGAAAACAAAGATAAGTTTCTTGTCAAAATGTTGCGATCTATTGCAGACGATATATTTTTTATAATTTTCCTCCCCATTTTTTTTTTAAATTTAACGTTAACGTTTGAAATCCAAGTATATAGGTAAATGTGTATATATATGCAAATATCTCAACGGCTACCGAACTATGCCTGCAAGCAGCTAATCATTTATATGGTTTCCTCGTACGTTTTCTAGCAGTAACGTAATCGCGTATACTAGGGAGAATATTCTACGCATAGATATTGACTACTAGACAGAGTTGTGGACAGTGGATTAGTTAGTTAGGGTGGCTAGCGTAGATGTTTTCCTCTATCGAATATTAAAATGCTTCACGTGTCGATGTATGTATGTAACTACATACATATAAATGATGTTAACATGTATTAAAGTATTCCTATATCGTCTTCAAAGTATTGAAACGAATAATCTAATAATAATTATACTTAATATAAATTATTAAACAATTTTTTTTATAATATTCGATGATCATATTATCTCTCTCTCTCTCTCTCTCTCTCTCTCTAATTATAATTTAAAATATTAATTTATCATCTGTCAATGCGATCCAATTAATTATAATGAAATTGCAAACATTCGATTGCCGTATCGTAAATTTATATTTACGATCTAATTAAACAAATTTATTTTTATATGCTTTATTTTATAGTTCACTATAATAGTAATTTCGTATGGTAATTTAATAAATATGATCATTTTATAATGATTTATCGAGGCCGAAAAATCAGATTAAGACGAAATAGAAATTACGCGATCGAAAAGATAAGGAGATAATCAGAGGGATTTTTATGAACGAATCCAATCGTGAGTCACAAACTACGATGTGTGTATATATATATATTTATAGCGTAAGCTGTATAGTTAAAGATGAACGAAAGTAATGCCCCTGAGTGAGGATTTTTATAGGCCTTATCTTTATTTCCCCTTTTGCTTCTTCACAATAAAAGCATCGGAACAGATGCCGTTGATGCTTCTTTTTATACTTATTTTAAGCTTTCTCTGCTTAAAGCGAACGATAACAGCCAGTATTTCAATGTGTCTTTTTATAAATAGTTTTTTTTCCGATTCATCTCGCGCTTGTTTTTCTTCTGATGATTTTATCGGTGCAACGACTTGAGTTCCACATTAAAATTCTACCGAAATATTTTTACGACTCGTATGTATGTTAAATTAGAAATACGATGTGAAAAATAAATGAATTAGATCTTTTTTGAAATATATATCAAAATTCAAACAAATATGATATTAATACTATACTGGGCTACGTATTAATCAAATGTTTTTAATTAATAATAAATAATCAATTGAAATTGTATGAATCGAAAGAAAAGCTTCGTTATGCAGTTCCATATAATTGGTTATCTACAGCTAAGAAATAGAAGATACAGTTAGAGCTCCATACCACTGTGGTTAGACGATTCTAATGTGCCTAGCTCGCATCTACGAGTTGCTTTCACTCTCGCTACGACGACGGTGCTAGTTGATTATTATGCAATGCGAGCCACCGCCATTATTTCAGGTCGTTTATGAACGACATCTTCCAAGGTTAATAAAGTCAATCGTTCTCTTTGATACCAGTTAATCGTGTCTTCTTTGAAAATGATTATATACATATATATGTATACATATACGATTAAAAATATTTATGAAGATTAGGGTGATCTTTGATTGACTTATTTGAAGAATTTCAAAAAATACGAAATAGATTTTTGATTCCTATACAACAATCATCAAAATTATTTCACATACTTTTCCTGACGAATATTTTCGCGAAACAAAATATTCAAGATTTGTACGCGTGCTAAATTTATTATTAATAAAACTATCGATGTGTGTGATAAACCTAATCGTGTAAGTTTTAAATTAACGATACGTTAAATGACAATGCGTACAAGAAATTTCTCATTAATGCAGTCAATCAGAATTTATGAAGACAACGTTGAATATGATCGACATCCATCATTCTAAAAATGACGTTTAATCGTTATGAGTCTACCTCGAGCATAGAACACAATTCTAATTTGGAAGTTGGAATACGACCAACGTCTTCGACGTTACGAAAGAACCAACCACCGTATGCCACGATGTCCTGATTTAGAAATTACGTGATATACCACGAGATTTGTTCGAAGCTTTAGTTATGTCTTAACCGAGAGAAGAAATCTTAATGATTTTAATCGATTCGATTAAAAAACAGAAAAAAAAGAATAGAAGCTTATAACATTATCCAAACTTTTATTTACGACGAAACTCAAATTGCAGTTTACGAATCGAGATAGTAACATTCGTTTCATTAAGTTTCATTCAAGTTACACATTTACTTACTAATTACAATTTTCATTCAAGATAAACCGAACGACGAGCAAAATAATTAAACGATTATAAAACTTGTTGAGAAGAAAAAGAAGAAGAAAAAAAATGAAAGAAAGCTAGGAAAAAATATGAAATAATAGTGTATTCGTGTTTTTCGACATTTATTCCATCAAATTAACATAATGTAGTAAGTAACCATTTTTTTTGTTTATACAAGATTCCAAACAATTTCTATTTCCGCGTTCAAAATCAAGAACGCTAGTCAATATTAACAAAACATTTCGTTAAGAACCTGTTTCATCAACAGTTCCGTATGGAAACGTCAAAGGAGTGTGTTTTCGCATGGACTTCAATGACCCGTCGTGGTGACCCGAGAAAACATTTGATTTTGTGTCAATGCCATGCCAACGGACTTGATACTATTATTTGTCCAAATGACAACGACGACAACGACGACGACGACGAAGAAGAAGACGCCGGAGGATTGGGGAGGATCGCGTAGTGACTCAGTTAACTAATATTAGAAGGTGAAGAGGCTGCTCCCTGGCCCAGTCTTTCTTTTTCTATTTCACCATCCTCCTCTAGACTGTTGTTGCATTATCTTTCCTTTTCTTTTTTTCACCCTCATCCGCACAAATACAAAAAATCAATGTAGAGACAGAATCATGCATTCTTCTACACACTTCAATACAAAAATATGCACGTAATATACACTCGTACGAAAACATACGTAAATACCATACATATATGCAAAATTAAACACACACACACGTACGCAGAGAAATATACATAAATCTTATTGTTAAAATATAAAGTTTATTTCTCTTTTAATCGAAGAAATTTCGATGGTAGCGCCATCGAGGACACGCGGTTTCTCTTGGACTCGGTCGACTACGGGAGTCTTCGGCTGGAACGTTCTTTTCGAATGAGTAAACACAGTGGAATTCGACGCTTCGAGCGGACCTCGGTGCACAAGCTGACCGGTGCTCTCAGCCTGCGGACAGGTGTAGCGCCAGCACCTGCTGCTGCTGTTGCTGTTGCTGGTGCTGTTGCTGGTGCTGGTGCTGCCAGAACTTTCGTCGTCGCGAGTAGACTACGTTCTCACCTTTTTAAACCCCTTTTACTAAATATTTCGAAATAATCGTCATATATAATTTTATTTTTTTATCAACGATTAAATAATTTATCTAAGAAACGAAATATTTAATGTCATTATCATATTTGTCATCGTGAAATATTGAATTTCTTTATTTAATCGATTATATAGAGATAAGCATTGCTTTGTGAAACGTAATATTTCAATAAATTTTTATTCAAGATTCCAATGAACTTGATCGATCTATCGAATTATCGATCGTTCGATCGAATGGAATTTTCTTTCCTTGAAAAATGATATTCTTTAATGTCTTAACGATCGTGTAACGAGTACTCAGGTGCAACTATATTGCAATGGGTTTAACTTCTTATTCTTTAATCTATTATGTCAACGTTATAAGTTGTATTTACATTTTCCGATTGCCAATGGGGGACGTGTCAACTACGAGAAAACGGATATAATTTACTGCCATTCCTAGACTTCCTAGACTCGGTGTAGTTTCAATCGAGATAAAAAGAAAGTTTCGAAAGTAACGTAGCAACACTTAGACAATAAAATTATATTCAATAAATATCTATTATCTTAAAATATGATAGGGTAATTATTAATCGATCGATGGATCGTAGCCGATGAAAATTCGCGGGCTTTTGTTTCGCGCAAAACGCGGCAATTTTCAAATCAAGTCGGGATACCTGGTTCCTGACCTATGGAAAGATGGGAAGGTAAAAAGCAAGGTTAAATATTAGCGGAAGAAGGTTGGTAGGTAGGAAGGAAGGAAGAAATAAAGAAAGTGAAAGATCGATTGGAAGAAAAGGTGGCTAGAGGAAGGGTCAGAAACCGTCGCAATTCTTTAGAGCCACCTACCTTTTCCCGATTCGTCGAACCGGTTCGCCTTTACGACGAGACGGGTAACCGCCTTGCAAGGGGTCGCTGACGCAGAACCTTCGTTAAGCTCGATTCACGAGGTTGCACTTTGGCGTTTGCCGATAAGAAAGCTTCTTACGATCATACGAGTAATCCACGTGCGATCAACGAGGCACACCGTTTATGAGAGATGGCAAAAAGTTTAATTGTAAGCAAGAAAACAAATGAAAGATGACAACGAGAGAAAGGGGTTTAAAGTAGAAAGAATCGTAAGAATGATTGATAAGAATGATAGAAAAAAAAGAAGGAATTAGGAAAAAACGAAAAGATAATGAAAGATAAAAAAGAAGAGGAAGTAGAAGAAGAAGTAGAAGAAGAAGAAGAAGGAAGAAAAAGTTCCTCGTGTTTGAAAGAAGAACAAACGAGGAAGACGGTAGGAAATCGTTTAGGAATGATTCGGCACGCGGGTCCGCCGGCCCCTGTGCCGATCTTTTCGCGGTAGCATGTTTTTTTCGAGCGTAACGGAGTCAGGCTCTCTTCCTCTTTCCCTATTTTAAGTTGACGCGTGCTCCGAAAGTAAATAATACGTTATTACAAAAAATTAACTTTTGTCTGCTCTTACGTTTAGAGCGTTTCACGGTCGACTACTGATAAAGTTCAAGAAAAATCGTTCAACTAGTTAGACCTAGGCTAATTAATTAACTTAGAAAATGAGTAAGTAAGTAAGTAAATAAGTAGTAAGAAAGCAAGCGAGTAATAATGGAAGGAAATAAAATAAGTAAGCGGAATAAGATTAAGAATAAAAATAAAGATAATAAACTAAACGCGTCGTTCGCGACCGGTAGATCCGATCGGTACGGCCGACAAGTTAAAACTGAGGGACCGACTTCCTTCCCTTCGTCGTCGTGTGGTTTGCGCTTACCGTCGCGCCGCTGCGGAGGAACGTATAGTCCGGAGACTCTGTTGAGTGGAGTGGAGGACGATGAGGAGGAATACTCGCGGACTCGAGTCACCGGCAAACGCGAACGCTCTTTTTCAAAGGAGCGTATCAAGCCACCAACTAACACAAATAACATTTTCAAACATCATTTCCTATTTCCTATTTTTAATTATAAAAAAAATTCTAACAAATATCTACTTGAAAATCAATACAACTTCGTTTTAAATCTACGTAAAAGTACATTTAACCCTACTTTTTATGACGGCTTCGATCTATTTCAGCCGCCATTTTGAATATTTCGAAATATTTAGATTTTCAACTGCGACAAAGTTTTTATTTCATGATTCCATTTATTTTCTATCGGTTTTTATTATCTTTTTTAAAAAATAAATTTTAAAAAAATGTATATTTATATATATAATATATTTTATAATACAGATATATATTACGAGAAAGAGAGGAGTATTCGCGAGTTCGTGAGGTAATCGTATTCTACAAACTTAAAGATATAGATATCGTTATTAAAGTATGCGAGATATCGAACGAAAGAAAATATGTAGGGATTATTCTTCGCATATTTATTTCTTATTTGAGCTGAGCTGACTATATGGATTTTATTTCATCGGACAGAGTTATTCGTCGTCGTCGTCGTCGTCCAGAAGAGAGTGCGTTGATTTAACGTCACGTCATTGAGAGTACAGTGACTCAAAGTGGAACAATAGTATATGCTCTACGATGATCCGATCATATCATGACGTAATCTAGCCTTCTTGCTGATACGGGCAGTTCATCTTATCGCTACGATATTAAATTCAAACCTACGGATTGTTTGACGTTGAACAACAAAAAAAAAAAAAAAAAA